GGGGGGGGGTCAAGTGTTTTAACCCCCATTCCATATTAAAAGCAAGGGCCCTAAATTGACCTTTGGAGAACTCCTATTGTTCCCCAGTTTGAGAAAAAACTCTGTTTGTTTTAGGAGCTTTTACTTCGACCTTTTGTTTTCTATCTGTTAAACAGGATCTGAACCATTGTGCTGCTATTCTTTCAGTGCCACAAAAAATGTAATTTATCCAACAAAATTGGATTTACACAGTCAAAAGCTTTTGCTAAATCACAGAAAATTCCTCCAGCATGCAGTTTTTGGTTAACAGAGTTTAGCACATTGTCTGTTAGTTTGAATGCTCCATCTTCGGTGGATACACCTTTCCTGAAGCCAAATTCTTCTGGGACCAATATGTTGTTAGTATGCACAGAATTACTTAATCTATTGTCCATAATCTTCTCAAGTACATTAGAAAAAGTAGTTAACAGTGAAATCGGCCTGTAATTTGTCACACTAGTTTTGTCACCTTTCTTATACAGCAGTCATACTACTGATATCCTAAGGCGGCCCGGAAAAATACCTGTGTATAATGAGTGATTACAAATGTGTATAATGTGGGTTAAAGGAAGACTAATTAAGGCTGAACAAGCTTTCAAAATTTTACTTGTTATTTCATCATAACCTGATGAGTTTTTTGATCTGAGGGACTGTATTACACTTTTCATCTCAGTTTCAGTGGTTGGAATAATATTAGGACTGGGAAATTTTACAGGAAATGCAGCTTTTAAGAATGAAACAGCATCATCTGTCCCTGCTTGACGTAAATTTAAGCTTTCAGTAATTGTTAGAAAATAATTATTGAAGGCATTAGCCACTATTCCTGGATCCTTTACTTTTTCATCGTTCATTAGAAGAGATGGCATCTGTTCTGATAAATGTATTTTTTCTGTCACCCTTTTTATTATGTTCCATGTTTTTATTTTATTGTCTGATTTTGCTACAAGTCTAATGTAATTCTGTTTTTCTGCCTCTTTTATTCAGGATTTTACAATACTTAATATAAAATGTTCTTGGATTTGGTTCATTACTGTTCCTATTGTAGATAAACAGATTCCTTTTATGCTTGCAAGATACTTTTATTACTTTGATCCAGTCACTGTTTATTTTGCCTATACTTTCATATGTAATAGGAAAACTAGCTTCAAAAATATTTAGAAAAGTATACAAAAATGAGTTAAACTTTTTTGTTGGTATCATTGACTTTATAAATAGATTCCATTTCATTCCTGTAATAATAGCCTGGGTTTGAATACCAGTAGGGGTAGAGTAATATTTTGACACAACCAGGATAACTCTGGGGCCTATTCAGTGGGTAATGAAGGCTCTTTATCTGGGTATAAAAGCAAACAAAGCATGAAGCTGATAATTCATAAACTTCTATAACCAAGGTTGAGAATGCAAGTAGTTTTACCTCCATACCCACTCATGCCTTCATGCCTTAAACACAGGGACAACTTCATATGTTTAACAATATCATATAAAGAGTACAAACCATCAAGATCCCTGTTACATAGTTTCCTCTACTCCCCTTTCACTCTCTTATATGCTATGGCCACATTTCTCAATGTATAGCTGAAATAACATATGCCCAATTAGAACAAAATGGGGTTGTCTGAAATGTGTTATTATTACAAAGAAAGCAATAAGAAACGAACAATTATGTCAAATTCTAACCCCAAAAATGCAGACAACATTCTTGATCTTCCTATAAATTTCAGAAAGTAAATTAAAAATACAACAATAACTTAAAATTTAGTTCACACTAAATGCATTGGCACTGATACTGCCAAATTCAGCTAAATTAAGTAATTTAATTTTCTCCTTTCCCATCCATGTTTGACAGAACAAGATGGATACAAGGTGATGTTCTATTATACTCCATAGTGTTATTTCTTCTTCCACATGCTGACTTGTATGGCAGGTCACCAATTTAGCTGTACATACAGCCAATCTGACAATAGCTTTAGAGTCAAAAACATTATATTTTCTCTAGCACTTTGTTCCTTCAGACTGAGGGACTTTTTACTTAATCCATCATGTAAATATATTCACAGTACATCCAATTACCTGACAACTATTAATTCACTTACCAGCAATAATATGTTCTCAATGGCTGGAAACCACTGTGTCTTAAGATGATCCCTGGCTGCATCAATGTGTGTGGAGACCAGTGCCTGAAATTCTGCCAGCTCAAAAGCAACACCAATCTTGCTAATTTCCTTCACATCCACAAGTCTCATTTCACTGTCAACATTAGAAATATGTATGACATCACTACAAATAAAAGTTTTCCTAATACAGTTTTCTGCATGCACTTTATTATTGCACAGCAAAGTTATCGCTGCACCCAAGAATGACACCATGAAGGCTTATAAATGTTTTGGGGAAGAAAATGTACACATACCTACTTCAGCTCACAATGTAACAGAGCAGTGAACTTCACACTCAATCTGCCTCACCACCAAAACCCAGGACAGAAAGCATGGTAAACCCAAGTCCACCATTAGTTATACAATTACCTGCCACTTCAAAGAGAGATTTATTTTGAGAAGAAAAGTAAATGCATATATTGTTTATTTATTTGTAGTTTATTTATCAATACTTTTTTAATATCTTAGATTATATAGTGTCAATACATTCTGTTGTAACCACTTCACCTAACTATGACTTGATTTGTAGATGGAAGAGGACATAGTAGTGTTGGCTAAAATTTTCAAAATGTAAAAAGTGCTCTCTCCCTTCAGTTCACTAACTAACTAACAAGATGGCTTACCAAACCCAAAGGTTCATCACCGAATTAACCAAAACCCTCTGCCGGACCCTGTCCTGGGCCAACAAAATCCAGTTTCCTTCAACTCCTACCTCCTATAGATCCTGCCTGACATTATCCTCCTATCTACGTCAAGGTCTCCCCAGCAGTCTCCATCCCTCAGGCTTCCCAATAATACCTGGTGCACACCTCTTGTCCCATCCATGCACGCCACATGCCCCGCCCATCTCATTCTTCTCGACTTAATCACCCTGACAATACTGGGGGAGGAGTACAAAGTTTGCCATTATGTAATTTTCTTCACACCCTATCTTCTTCTCTCCTAGGCCCAAATATCCTCCTCAACACCCTATTCTCAAACACCTGCAATATATGTTCCTCCCTCTGAGTGAGAGACCATGTTTCACACCCATACAAACCAACAGGTAAGATTATTGTTTTGTATACTTTAATTTTCAGGTTCTTAGAAATCAGACGGGAAGACAAAATATTTTGAACTGAGAAGTAGCAAGCATTTCCAGAATTTAATCTCCTCCTAACTTCCTCATGAGTGTAATTTTAATTTGTTATTGTTGTTCCCAGATATCTGAACTTTGTAATCCTTTCAAAGGATTTATTATCCACTCTAAGACAATTCTGCCTGCCTGTCTGGTGATGAGATACTAACATGTAATTAGTTTTTTCTGAATTTACTTCTAGCCCCATCTGTCTACTAGCCTCTAGTAAAACATCTGTGTTCGTCTTTATTGTATTTATATCATCACCCAATGAATTAACATCATCAGCATATGCCAATAGCTGATGTGTCCCATTCAATTGCAAACCCTCCTGCTTATCTTGCACTTTCCTGATGGCATATTCTAGTGCAAAGTTAAAGAACAAGGAGACCAAAAAGCATCTCCCTGTTTTAGACAGTTCTTGATGGAAAATTTACTCAGATAAATACGAATTTTGCTAAAGGTTACATTTAAGTACATTTCTATTAGACTCCCTAGCTCTTTGGTATACCAAATTCAATAAGAATATTATATAGCACTTCTCTCTTAACAGACTCATAATCTATAAATAATTGATGTATGGTCCCACTGAACTCTCATTTTTTCTCTAGTATCTGACGAATGCAAAAGATCTGATCAATTGTTGATCTGTTTCATCTAAACCCACACTGATCCCCAATAATTTCATTCACATATGGTGTTAATTTTGCCAAAAGAATGTTTGATAGAATTTTGTATGAGGTTGATAGCAGACAAATTCCTTGGTAATTACCACACTCAGTTTTGTCCTGGATTCCTTCCATTCTTGTAGCATTTCTTCCTTATCCCAAATTAACAGTATAAGCTTAAGGATCTTCATCATCTTCAATCATATGCAACCTTTTGCCACATGCTTTAATTAATTCTGCTGGAATATGATCAATACCTGGAGATTTATAACTTTTCAACTTCCCAATGGTTAGTTAAACTTCATCTAAACTAGGTTCTGGCACTAACAGTTCAGCTGTATGTATTTTAATCTGTCTAACATCATCTGTGTCATGAACATTTAAGAGCTGGCTAAAGAAATTTTTCTACCTATTCAAAATGTTTATTGGATCTGCAAGCAAATTGCCATTATAATCCTTTACCAAATTACTCTGAGGTTCATATCCTATCTTAAAATTATTAATGCCTCTGTACAGGTCCCTGATATAGCCCTTCAGGTATTCCCGTTTCTTATTCCTGAAGGTTCTACTAGCTTCACGTTACATAGATTATCCATATTTGACTTGCTTGTGTCCTGCAACCATTGAAATTTTGTATGTTTCCTTCAAATTATTAATTTTGAACATTCATCAAACCATGGTTTATTTTGCTTTCTCTTGCAGTATCCTAGTTTCTCTTTGGCTGAAATTTTGATACAGTTTCTGATATTTTCCCATTCCCTTTTGATGTCCACACTTTCATTATCTCTATCTGTTTCTAAAATTTGAAACCTATTCAAAATATGAACTTGATATGCTCCTTTACCTCTCCCTCACTTAATTTTTTCAAATCAAATCTTTCTGTGTCAAAATTTTGCTTAGTTCATCTACTTACAGAAAGCCGCTCCCCCACTTTTCTACCACCAGATAATGGTCAGTGTCACAATCTACTCCTCTGAATGACCTCACATCAATTACATTTGTCTGCCTTCTATTATCTACTAAAACATGATGTATTTGATTGTGTGTGCTACCATCTGGATAAGTCCAATTGTATTTATGAATATCACGGTGTGGAAATTTTGTACCTTTTACAATCAAAACTTTTGAGGTAGCAAAGTTTACTGCTCTGACACCGTTATCCTTACTAAGTGCATGCAGACTCTTGCTACCTATTGTGGTCTCCCTCTCAATTTTTGCATTGAATTCTCCTAGCAGAATTTTCATGTGATACTTGCCAAATGTATCAAATACTGATTCCAATTCTTCATAAAAGCTATCCTTGATAACATCGCTTTTGTCCTCAGTTGGGGCATGAACATTAAGGGCAATAACGTTACACCAACGTCCTTCCAAAATTACGTAAGACAACCAGTCACTAACAAATTCTACTCTCTTAACTGCTGCCCTAATTCTGCTATGAACAAAAAAAACCGTCCCTAACTGATGACTATCATTCCCCTTTCCATAGAAAAATGTGAAACTGTCCACTGGGATCGCACCCTCTTTACGGTAAAGGTTGTTAGCCTTACATCCAACACCCAAGTTGGAGGACCTCCCCTCGACCAGTCCGCGACTGCTTATTCAACATATTCGCAGCTAACCTCCATACCTGGAGGCCATCCCTCTATCTGCAACCTGAGGACGCAACATGCGGTGGTGTAAGAAACCCCACCATACATAGCCCTTCAGTTCACTAGATGGTAATAAATTTTATGACTAAAAAGGTTTAAGTGCATACCTGAAAGACTTGTACCAAAGATCAAGGACCTTTGCCAAACAAGGATTCACTGTATGCAGATTCTTTTGTATCTTTGCTAAATTCCTCTCAAATGTAGGCCTCCATGTCTTGGACATCTGTTTCAGTTCCTGCCTATAAATTGAGTCATACTGCTTTATCTGATTGTTACTCTCACTTGGTTCTTGAAGCACAAAGTCTACAGCTGCTTTCTTTACACTTAGCAAGAACTCTTCCTTCAGTTCCTCAGTAAGCTGCTCCTTCACTGTACTGTATGTCTGGAGTTTCTTTGATATCTGTGAATATATGTTGTTCAAACATGCTTGCTCAAGTGGAGGTACATAAACTGTATTGATTCCATTATGGATATAATAATAGTATCTCAAGACTTCCTTCTCCTCTCGAGATGGAATTTGAAAAGTTTCCGGTATTTCTTCATTTTCCTTAAAAATAAAATAAACAAGTTTCTTGCGAAATTCCTCCCTTTCCTTTCGCATTGCCATGTATGACTTATGGTGTACCTAAAATAAAAAAATTGTTGTCAGTGTCCAAGAAATATAAAATATGTGGGCAGTCAGAAACTGACCCAGAATTCTGGTTTTTACACTTCTCTCCAATAAATGCAAACTCTTCCTAAAAAGTTCTGACTCTAGAAGTGTGTACATATATGGGAAAAAGTCTGACCAATATGATTAACTGACATGCTCTTATCAAATTCTAGGTCAAATTTGAACTTCCTTCATATATTTTTTTACAATTTTACTTCACATAGCATTGGTTCATGTTTGTTACATGAAGCAATGCTATGCGAGAAATAATATAATGACTATGAACTCTGATGTAATGATAATTAATAATTATAAACAATTGCTGAATATTAATAGACAGGAGAAAAGGAAATAAGTACTGCCTGACTCTTTAGTCATATACTGTATGTTACAAGTGAAGAAAACTGTGGCAGAGGTGGGTGTGATGAGGGATGTGTATAGTATTTTGTCTTACATCTCTTTGAAGATAGCATTCATAAGGAAAAAGAGACTGCACTCTAACTGAAGTATTTAAATTCTTCATAGTTCCTCTTTAACTCATTTAAACCCTATTCTCTTTTGTGGTCTCAGCCAAACTAACATTGCATTAAGTTACCATTGCCTTTTTTTAAGCAAGGAAAAGTGCTCATCATATTTTAATTTGGCTGCAATTATTTTTTAAAGCCTTATTTTAATGATATTATGGGATTAAATTATTGTTATTTTTGTGGCTTCTATGATTGTCACACCTTAAATTTACACTTAATGGTTTCTGATTATCTAAACTTTTGCAGCCTTTAATTCTGGCTTACTATGCTTATAAAGTCTCATATTAGCAGCTTTCTTTTAATGATGTTTACCATGGTTACTGATGTTATTTAACTGCTTAGTAACTACCACATTATTTTCATGATCAAAGCAGCAATTTTAAAAATACTGCATAGTGTACAGTGCTGGTGGTAGATCATGCATAATAAAAATTTACACACATTACTATTGATCAGACTGCCAAGAACGTAAACACACTTCATATTGAACAAAGTCTGTGTACATTTAGTTAACAAGGAAAATATATATTTAAATAACTTCTAAATATTACACCTGAGTAAATAATCTTTCGGAGTTACAAACTTTTAATTTACAAGCTTCTTCTCACAATATGTATAAAGGAACATAATCAACAGTTCTTACCTGACCCTCCTTCTCTTTATGCAACTGTGATTTAGTTTTCTTATGAAAAGGAACACGAGGTCTAAGGACTGCTTTCGGGAGGGAAAATAACTCTTCAAACGTCAAATTACTTTCATCTGGTTGCACTATCTTTTGTAGTTTTGATGACTGCCTCTTTATGTTATGCACTGAGCATTTGGTTGAAGAATTAGGTTGTTTCTGCATAGCCATTTTTAGTTGTTTCTTCTAGAAAGAAACCACAGAACAGTAAGAGAAGATTCAATGGTGGGTTGTGTGACAGTACAGTTCTGGGTTCAAGCCCCAGCTGCTAAGGTGTGAAGGTACACTGTGTGGTTTTGTATGGGACCAGCTGTTTGAGAAAGTCTTCAGCTGGAAGTAATGGTGCCAGGGTGCCAGCAGCAAACTTCATATGGCCCACCTGCAAGTTGTAAAGTAATTAAAACAGCTACTGTGTCATTATACACAATTGTAGTCGCCATAGCAGTGAGAGCCAGTGGGTTTGAAGCGAATGTTCTGGAAGGTCCAAAGTCCACGTGGAGTGAGGGCTGGTGTGATCAGAGCATTCGTTCAAATTTTGAAATAAACGACCTCCAAATTTGGGGAAAGGAAAGTCCGGCGACGCTGGGATACCGGGGGCACTCTGGTCCTGGATTCCAGCAAGGACACACACAGACTAATTCTTGTCCTTTGATTCAGTAAATAGTGGCCGTCAACTAAAGAAATAAACTACTGTGTTAGTTGTCTGAACAAAGTGTTTTTTTATTTCTGCACTGCAATTACGGGACTTTTTACTGGAAGCCACTATCCAAACCACCTCGCTGGCGTTCAGCTTATACTCCTCCATGCAATATTCCCTAATGACAAGCATCATGCTCATCTGAGCTATGCTCCAAAATTAACCCATAAATCCCATTATCACCAAAGGCTACAACTGAGCCGGGCAATTCCCCGAAAGGAGAATAGGACGGTCACAGTTATTTAATAGCTTATATAGACCACAGTAATGAAGGCAGTATAATACACTCACAGGTGATATGACAAAAGAGCATTATTCACAACACCTGTATGAAAATATATGTAAAATACAACCTAGCATGACCATGTCAAAAGCAATTAACAATCAGTGTAAATTCTGTCTGTGGTCTAATACGAAAATTATGGGCAAGAACTGTTTGACCACAATATGTTAATAAAGCTCTTCAGTATACTCAATACAGTTCAGAGACCTTACATTCCTTTAATTCTCTCTGCACAACTAATAGAGTGAAGCATAATCACAGGCATAGTTATATGAAGTTATTGTGCCATTATATTTAGCACAGTATCAATTATAAAACTATCCAATACAAGCAGAAATATTAAAGATTACTTATTTACTTTCTAACATGTTTCATCCCACCTGGAACCATCATCAGGAGAACATATGTGTCGCTACTTAAAGTCAAAACAACTACAGAAGTCACAAACTATATGAGTGAAGGTCACAGTAAAACTGTACAACATTGGAATATGAACAGTGGGACCCAGGTGTGTAAATACAGCTCAGAACTCACAGCGCAGTCACACAAGCACTTTGACTTAGAGCCCTATGAATGTTGTGTATGTGTGCATGTCTGTATGTGTCTGTGTTGGGGGGGGGGGGAAATTGGTGATGGCTACAACGGTATTGAAGAATATAAATATATATAGTAGTAAAAAACAATAAAAATATATCCAGTAAACATATTTAAAAACTTTGCTGGTACTGCATATCTTGAGAGCCAAAATCCTTAAAATATATAGCATGTAAAACAAATATTTTCATATTAATTGTGGGAGTGCATCAAGTTGTCAGTCATATAAGTATATTATAATTTCCTAGATGTTTACACTAGTGCACAATTATAATGTGATCCAAAATATTTGTGTCACTTCCTTATCTCAGAGTTTGTAGGCAAGATCATTGCAAAGGTAACATTTCATTTGTTTTGCATTAGTATCTAAATCAATGTTATAGCACACGGTACTGCAGTGAATGGACCACATATGCTTGTATTTCATGCACCTTGT